AACAATGTCTTTGGAAAACTGACTATCTTAATCACTTATAACAACAAAATAAGTGGCAGTTTACAAAGGATAATGTTAGGGTAGGATGTTTAGTGTTATTAAAGGGAAATTATTTGCCTTTCTGCAAGTGGGCAATGGCAAGAAAGAGCACCATGTAGTGCCACCTGTAAAAAAATTGAAAAAATGCAACCAGTCTAATGCTGTATCCCGACGAAAGCGGATGCACGAAACGACTAGGAATAAAAAGGCTTAGCGCTGTTTTTTTATCTAACCCTATTTATAGTCCTAATTGACGACCGAATCAGATTACTTATACGTATTTTGGTATTTTTATACCCTTTATATTTATTCTCTTAAACACATTTTCATACTAATCGTTTTAAGGTATGTGACTACCCTAAATTCCTCGTTTTACAGAAAATTTTCGAAATTTGTTTTATTTGTTTATTTTGTAGTCCATACATTTAGGTATCTAAAAATGCTTTATTTTTGTTTCTGCTATAATTACAAATAAAGTTATAGCATAAATAATGACCGGAAGTGACAATTCTGATACCGGAAGTGGCAATTAAAAGAGCCTTAAAAATACAAACAATTAGTTTGAACAACTATATTTAAATTCTCAAGCAATATATTGTCTAAAAACATAGATTTAAGCTTCCATTTCTTATTTTTATTGTTTTATAGGTTTTTGGCGACGCTTTTTTTAAAAAAATACAACACAACAGTAATTACAACAATAAAAATTACTTTTTGGCGCTCAAATTGCTATTTTATAATTTAATTCCATTTATTTTGAACTGTTACCTGTTCTCATGTGTTTTGAAATGTAAATTTATCCATAGATGCTTAAAAATTGCATGAAAATTGACAAAAAGCTAATTCAGATATCGAGACGCCACTAACTATCTACTATACAAAATTATTCAGAAAAAATCTGAAAAGCTGAAAGAACACAAAAGTCGTTTAAAATCAAGTAAAAGAGGGTTTGACTTGTAAATATGGCGAGTTTTAAGATTCTAAGATGTGTACAAAATTTTTTGTACTCTATGAAAATCTTTAAAAGCGTTTTCTGAGAAATTGGAATTTTCGATATTTTTCTACGCGGCAAACATAATTTTGGAAAATGTTTTTAAGATATTAAAATGAAATTTGGCCAAAATGTTTTATTTGTTTCTAGCTATGTTATGAACTAGAATCTAAGCTCTCTGCCTATATTTATTTATTTTATTGACTTTTTAGTGAGAAAAATCGATGATTTTTTTTTAAAAATTCGAGTTTGTTCGCAAAGTTTGGAATATCTCCAACACCTTTCGAGGTATTAAAAATATCCTAGTTCATAACACAGATAAGCATGTTAGCTATATACTGTGCAAATATTGATGAAATATATTCAATACAACTTCTAATGGGAGGTTTGGCGTAAGTGCAAATTTTCACTAAAATTTTGCTAAAAATTGCCTATAATTTGAAAGTGAATGAAATTTCCAATGAAATTGCATTGGAATTCCCAGTTTTATAACTCATTTTAATTAAAAACATGAATGTTTCATTAAAAATTTAAAAATTTGAAAAAAAGTGCTCCGAAGGTAGTCACATACCTTAATATTCCGAGACTAGCACTTTTCAACGATTTAACTCCGGAAAGGGGTGATAGGCAATGAGTAAGATGAGCGCATTTCCGGAGTTCTTCGTTAGGTCACACTAAGTAAAATGTAGTTAGAGTGACCTAACCCTCTCCCTTCGTTTTTCCCTTTTTCCCTATTTTGGTGAAAATATCTCCTCCTGGCTCACGCGCAAAAGCGAGGAGGGTTTCGGAATTCGAGAACATACAATATTTATTTATTTGTGAGATATTGTGTTTTATATTTATCACACTTACAGTAGAGTCTCGATAATTCGAGTCTCGATTGTCGAGTTTTCCATAAATCCGAGTTAGTGAAAAAATCAGTTTAGCTCCCAAATAATGACCAACACGTGAAAGAATTACTGCATCTGGTTTTCATTGTTGTTCGACGGGTCATATGTCCACTGCACACTTCGAAGCCACCTACAGAAATGCCCCCTCCCAAAGAAAACGGGATATATATAAGATCGATATACAGGAGCAATGTGTTTAAATAAATAACAATTGACAATTTTTTTAAGATATAATTAACCTGTTGCTATCAGCAGTAATGTAACACTACACTGAAATTTAAAAATTGCTTTTATTTCCATTTATTTATTTACTAAAGTTTATGACTTCGATAATTCGAGATTTCGGTAGTTCGAGGTAGACCCGGTCCCGTCCACCTCGAACTATCGAGACACTACTGTATTTCTTAATATTTAATAATTTATTCGTGGCCAATCCTTTAACCCTTAGTTGGAGGGGCTGATGTAGCAGGGAGTGGTAAAAGTGACAAGGCGTAATCTATATGCCGTCTCTCTCTCAAATTGTGCCTGTACGCTATTCCCTCCAACGAAGGGATAAGTATTTTTAACATGAATAAAATGTGCTCACGTAGAACAAAGGCATTAGAATATTCCAGAATCCTGAATTTTCTTCATGAATTTGCTTATTATTGACAGCAATATTTAGATTTATCCAAGCACGACTGGAGTTTATCACACCTAGTAAAATTTTAAATATTCATTTATAAACTTAAAAAAGGCCCAGAGGGCTAAGAAAAAATATATATTTCTTAGCTACAGAAACAAAAACTTACCCTTTAAATAAGAAAATGCGAAATCGTAGTAGGAGCTTTTCTTCTCGTGTTCTAAAACATCTGACAAAAAGGGTATTCGATTCATGAAGAACTGTTGTCAACTATTAAAAGGACATCATATTCAATTAATTCCTCAAAGACAAAAATTATATTTTAGTCAAATAAAATCTATACTAATAAAAGTAAGTATGGTAGTTATAAAAGTAAGGTGGGAAAAGGAGAAATAATATTTTGACATATAAATAAACATACGTAGGTAAATTAAAAAGTAAGTGACACTAGATTAACAGGTGGAGCTTAAACCGCAAGTTAATTAATATTACTGAATTTTTTTTTCGCTCTTTCTCGTCTTAAAAATAACATCTTTTTAATTTAAAAACATCAAATTTTAATATAAAACTTCTTTGTGTTTGGTTGTGTTAAACATTACATATGCTTGTAAATATGCATATGTAATAACATTACATATCATCATCCTGTTTCCATTATGTGTTACATGCATATGTAATGCATATATATATTATATATAAATATTGCATATATATATATATATATATATATATATATATATATATATATATTATATGTGTTACATGCATATGTAATAAACATTACATATGCATGTAAATATGTAAATAAGTATTCGTAAAGGCTCATAAATTTAAAGAGTATCTACATCAAAATTTTACATCTGCAACACATATTTATCGAATTCTGTTAACAGGATGATGATGTATCTGCAGAAGCGACATGCTTTGTTTTCTTCGCTAAAACAACGAAGCTAAACGCAGGACGTACCATACTGTGCAAGTATACTAGTAAACCCCGAACATTGCCGATTTTTTTCATATTTCCTCTTCTCTTACGCCAGCCTATACGGTTCTTTCTTTTCGAGGTCCTCGCACAAATTCCACTATCGCAACTCTTAAAACTTGGAAACATGTAAGCGTATAAAATCAGCCCCACCCATTTCGATTAAAACCATACCATCCATTTCTGACCAATGTTTGCCTTTCCAGTTGAAGGACGACCGCTGGCGAATCGTCCGAGTCCACCCAGAAAACTGCAAGAACTCACTTTAAACGGAATAAAAGCCAACCGGCGGAGATAAGTGGGAAGGATCTATAACTCTACTAATAATAAGGAGAAAGTCTGTGTGTCTGTCTATCTCTCTGTGTGTGTTGGCGCTCTACAGGACAGACCGCTAGACCTAGAGGAACAAAATTTGTCACAAGCATACCTTGGAACGCGGGAATGTGCACCTTGGAGCAGGTTTTTTCAAATTTTAATTAGAATTTTAATTAACTAAAAATTAAACTAAATTTAGGCATTTTTCTTCAATAACAACCGAACATATTACAGCACAAAACATATTTTTATATCATCTGAAAATTTAGAAAAATTATCTTCTCAATGGTATCAGTTAAGTTATCGTACAATTTTTTTCTCTGATTTTAATAAATTTTTTTAAAAAATGGCATAATTTACAAGGCATGTACGGTGGAATTTTCTACCAATTTGGAGATCCGAATAATCAAGATAATTGCTTGTTTACATGAGCATCCCTCTAGCACCTTGGCATTCCTTGGTCAGGTTTTTGGCGATTATACCAGAAAGTAGATTTCAATCGTATCGTTTCTTTCATCAAAATCGCCAGTCACTGCCTCTGAAAGCACAAATCTGTGCTGCCATTTGTTTAAACCTTACAAAACTAGTTCCAAGAAAATTAAACCATTACTTTTAAATGAATTTGCATTAGTATCATTCAATTTATAATAATCAAAGTTGTTTCTTGAAATTTAGATTATACGTATTTTTATTTATAGATTGTTTTATGTCAGTCCCTTCAAAGACGCATAACCAATGATTTAATGTAATTAAAGTTTAAGAATTTTTGTTCCTCATGATATTGATTGTGGCACTGCTATCATTGTTCGTATATGTAAGAATTATATCATTCACATTTTCAATAGGAATCCCTGTTAAAATATCATCGTCGATTGATATGAATTCTTTCGCACTCATAACGGAACAATTCAAGTTGTTCAACAAAATTTGCAGATCATGTGCACATATATCTTCAGTTGATGAATAATTTTCTAATTAAGTTCTAGGAGAGGGTAAAAAGAGGAATCATCTAAAATCAGCGAAGTATGTCTCATTTCTTTCTTCATTTTTGCATTAAAAGTAATTTTATCATTCTTCCATTACTGCAGCTTTCATCCATGTTTTTCTGTTCGATTTCCATACTGCTTTTTTTTTTACGTCCAGATTTTTAAAACATCTTAGGGTCATGATGGCCCAGTGGTAAGGCTTCGGCTTGGGACCGAAGGGTTTCAGGTTCGAAACTCAATTCCACTGAAAATCCCTCGTGTATTGGGTCTTTTTCACGTTAAATCATGCGTAGGGGTCAAAAGTCCTCCTATTTGTGTGGTGCGGAAATTTAGAGAGGGGGCTCCAGCTCAGGTGTCGTACTCATCATCTGACCAAGGCTCAAAGCTACAATGTTAGCCCCAAAATAGCCCTCGTGTTTCAACAAAATGGAACATTAATATAACTAAACTAATCTTTTAAAGCTCCGAGCCTTTTCAGCCTTGCCAATTACCAACAATTTTTCGATTTAGCCTATCATAAAATCACAAGAGTAACACTGTGAGACGTTACCGAAGAGAAGGAAAATAACTTTTGGAAAATGCGCGTGTTTTTGTCCGTTAGAATAGATTTTATTTCCAAGAAATATTCTGAATTGTTCTTTGAAATACTTTTCGTTTCCGCGTAAGGTAGGTTTCGGTTTTGGGACGGAATGTTCTATGGATCTTCCTATATTTTCTACGGGGCCATATTTTTTCCCGCTTAAGACAGGATGTTCGCTTTAAACAGATTTTAGTGTTGCTGGCAATCAAAATTTATTAAAATTTATAAATCCAAATTTTAATTATTTATTAACTAGATATGATAATTATTGTGCAAAATTGCGAAATCACTGTGGTATTCGTTTAAGTTATGCCCTTCAAATCCCAAAGTTTTCACCTCTGTGTTTAACTGGACTTAAGGACTGGGATTCATTTAAGTTTACGATTGCGAAGTCATGAAATAATTTACAAGCTATGTAGAAACTGTGACAACTAGAAAAGAATTTGAAACTGGGAAACACTATTGATAGAAAAAAAAAAAATAGTTAAAAACGGAAAACAGCTTTTGAAATTTGTTTGTGAACGAGGTAAACCTGGAGTTTAGGGTGCGTACTATTTTCTCGCCAATTTTCTTTGGTGCAATTTTATTTGCCGTCGCCAAACACTGTTCAGGATGCGCAATGAGTTTTTTATAGGTCTCATGCGCATTGGATGCCTACGGCATCTCAAAACGAGAGATTGGGCACTCAATGCCTTCGGCATTACAAGTGTGCACCGGGAAATATTTTTAACTTAAAAGAATCATCAGCGGCTTCGCTTTCAGCAAAGCGGGCCCCTCGTAGCTTCGCTTTTTCATTGAGAAAAGAAACACACAGGGAAAGGGCGAACACAGGAAAAACACGACGTCTGAAGACGACGAAACGTAGCAGGGGAACCATTGTTTCCAGAAAAAACATTCCTCGTTCGATATTTGAAAGCCACAATCAGCAACACAGAGAAAGAGAATCAGCAAATTAAATGAACGAAAATCTTCAGAAGAGAAGCGAACGGTTATTGTAAAAAATCGTTTGGTAAATGATCAAGACTTCCAAACGAAGTATTATTCAAATTCGTACGCCGACCAATCAAATCGAAGAGAGCAGACAGTGGACCAATGGAAATGAGGCGAAATTAAGGGCATGCGCCGTAGAACGGTATTCAAATCACTGTCGGCGTATGCGCAAACAAAGCCGAAAAAATTTTCAACTAGCATCCAAAACAAATGTTCTGCCACTCTCTCTATTGGCGACAAACAATTGGCGAGCTTAAGGGAAACGAAGTGAGTACGACCCTAAACTCCATGTTGAATGTGAACGAATACTTGCTACCATTTTATATTCATCAGGAATAATTTGTCGTTCAAGGGCTCTACCTTTGAAATTCATGTATGAATCTACTAATGACATGAAAACGAAATCCTAAATCCAATCAATGGAAAATAAACATCATTTGAAGTTTGGTCATTTGTATGATATATTGTGAGCAAAATAATTCAAAATTCTAATATACTAGATATCAGTATTGCAAATTTTTGCAGCGAAAAGACATTTTAAAGATTTTTTAAAAAGTATTGTGATCCGGAATTTGTATCTTATTTAAAAACTGTAAAGGAAAAGGTAGAAGAGTTAATTGGTGGAGACATCTGAATTTAAAAAATCAAACAACTGGAGGGAAAAAAGACAATTTTGCTTTGAAAGAAGCGATCAGCCTAGTTCATATGGCGAAGAATATTTCCGAATTCAATACCTTCTAGTCATAATCGATAGCACCAGTTTGTTCAAGAAAAGATTCGAAATTTATCACGAACGTAAAACTTCATATGGATCTTTATATGTTTAGGATAATATTCACAAACTTACTGAAGACGATCTTCTTAAATGTTTTAAAGACTTAAATGCGACTTTACCAGACAATAGGGATTGCTTTGATTTATTTAACGAAATCAAATTTGTCATCATGTTTTGCCTGTCAGGGTCGCAACATAATTTATTTAATATAATTTTTCAATATTCATTGACAAAATTCAAATAAATTATATTAAATAACAAATTTATTTAATATAATTTATTTGAATTTTATCCAAATTTCATGACTGTCCTAAAAATATATTGACTTTACCAATTACCGTCGTATCCACAGAAAAGTTTTTCTCGTGATTAAAAATTAAAAAAAAATTATTTGAGATCTAGCATTTGCAAAGAATGATTTAGCTGCATAACCATTTTATCTATCGAAATCTAATTAGACAGAAAATTAAATTGCGATGATATCAACGAATTTGTTATAAATCTGCCAAAAAATGAAACAAAAACAACGTATTACAACCTTATTCTAATAAGTTGCATTCCAAATTTTATTTATGAGTTTATGAAACAATTATTACAGCTATTTGATTTCTGAGTGATTTTGGGTGTGATTAAAATGTTAACATTATAAAAATGCTTTAATTATTAATAATTTCCATGTATTCTTTAAGTCCATAAAATACCAATTTGTGCAATGTAATAAAATGAAACAAAATATTGTATTGATGTACGAAATTTGTTTCGAAGCCCCACAAGTCAACTTTGCACCAGGCCCCGCTTTTGATCCAGCCGGCATTGGCTATGAACACCTTGTTACAATACAAATATTTTATTATTTTTCATAATTGAATTTGTTATTATAAATAATTTCATTTGTTAAAATTATTTTATTAAAATGCTTGGTAAATTTATTGCACAGTAAAATGCTTTGCTTTCCTTATAATCCAAAACATTATTAAACAGAAAATTACAATTAGAAATAACTTAGACGGCAAACAATTATGTATGTTAGACTGGGTCACATGCTGAAATACTAGAAAAGACTAAGGGGTCTATTCTGGTACCCCCGGTTGGGTTGGGTCCCACACGTTAACAACGGAACCCAACCCCACCGGGGGTACCAGAATAGCCCCCTAAGATGGATCTTCAACTCTCCTCAATATACGGTACGGAACAAAATACATACCGAATTAAAATAAATGATACAATACTACTAAACATGGGAGATGAAAATTGATTTTCAACTTTCGTCGAAATAGGGTAGGGAACAAGATATATGTCAGATTTGAGTTTGGTGTTAAAATAATATATTAATTAGAAGATAAAATCGAAGTAATTTATCTAATGTGACTTAGTAAACAAGACGAATCAACTAATTTTTCCATCTTGATGTTTACTATTGCTCAATACGCTTTCCATATGCTAAGCGATAGCGCATACGACGTCTCGTAGGAGCTAATCAATGAAATTTCTCGATTTTTCTCCATACTCGAAACCGGGTAAGGGATGGGAATATGCATCCTGGTAGGCCACAAAGGAATTATCACATCCCTCCTAGGCATCTGGGGTCAAGTGAAGAACAATCGCACGACAGCAGTCGAAAACTTAGGTCGGCGTCCTAAAAACAATCAGCGGCCCAACCCCTCCCAAAGGAAGTATGTCAAAGTCATCGGAGTGGAGGTAACTCAACCCTACATCATTATTATCCCCACCAGAAAAGTGCTAACCGCTTAATTATCGTGAGGCTTCTTAAGATCGAGATACCCTCTCCTCTGGTGAGGGGTATCACGGATACGCTCATTAATAAGGTTCCCCATCCTATGGTGAGGGAGCGTATCCAGATAAAAATTTTTAAAAATTTAAAATAATTTAATAGTAGGACCTCGATCTTCGATGCCTGGGTGGTCAAGGGTCCGAAAGAGAATATGTGTGAGACGTACATTATAAAGTATATCAAGAATAAGTATTTTTAAATTTTTATTTGCGCGTAAAATAAATTAATTGATAATCTTTTAATGTGCATTATTTACATTTGCTGAGACCTGGTTATTTTGTTTGTGAAATTTGCAAACCAGATTGAGTTCATTTTTTTCAAATTTGTTGAAATCTCGAATCAATAAGAATTTTATAATTCAAATTCAAGTTTATTTTATAAATAAGTTTATTTTATATATTCCTTCCTCAGTTTACGAAAATTATATTTCACTTTCATCTTCTTTTCATTGATAGATAAACGTCTGGAAACTATAAGTAATCACCTTACAAGTTGCTGCGAAAGCAAAAAGATGATGCCATATTTATGTTTTAAGTATTATTTGTATAAAATTCAGACAGCTGATTTCTAATGAATCATACTTTCGAAAATATCATAGCACAAAACTCCAGCATGTAGGATGCAAAGTTTGCCGCATCATTTTAATATTGATATGAACTGCATGTTTTGCATGAGTCATAAGAAAGTTAAGGTTGCGTTGAAAACTACACAGTCAGATGTTAGATGACGCAGACATTTATTACATGTGCTTTGGCTCCGTTAGGGATGTTCATATATACAAAAAGCTTTATAAGTGCAATGCTACTGTGATAACACAACTGAACTGTGTATTACAATTTTAAATTTAAAAACGCTGTCTTGAAGGAACCTTCAATATCAAATTGTGCATAAGAAATTCAACTGAAATGACACTCAATTACTATTGGCGAAATGTGGGTAGTGTAAAATGAATAAAGGAAACATTTTTCAAAGTATCCATTTCTTGTTTCTGGGGTTGAAGCGTATTTACAGCATCTTGAAGCTGGACCTTCACGATTGAAGTGCTCCAGTCCATTCGGATCACATCGCTCCACATTGTTCCAATTTTCAGGTGGGTCATTCATGGAG